TTTTAATAAACTGAAATTATTTTTACTTTATTGAAATTAATTATACTGAACTGAACTTATTTTTACTGAACTGAAATTATTTTTACTGAATATTATTTTTTTAAGGTGAACTGATCAGGGCCTAATACTACATAATATACTCCAATATTACTGGTTTTCTAGAGTATATCACTTACAAAGTTTACTGGAAAATTAAATTCCGGAGTACTACATAGCTTTACTTCCTGATTTTAACTTGTATATCCCAGCCACTTTGTACATTTCTACTTCAAGAAGTCAAGGGAACCATATACACGAGATGACGGGAGATGATTAATGTGGTGTATAACTAACTACTCTCTCTATCCCTATATTTTTGTCCTTAATTTTTTAGGGTCTCTAATATGCGTTAAAATGCATATATATCCATTCTCACACGTGTACATAAATAAAAAAAATAATAATAATTAGAAAAGAAATCTTGATGTTAATAAAATATCAAGTGAAACGAATCCAATTAGATCCTCACATGATTATATTATCTCTTATACATTTGAAAGAATTATGGTCAGAATTTTCAAAGTTTGACCTAAATTTTGACTGTGGGGCAAAAAAGAAGGGACGGAGGGAGTATATATTACTTGTTACAATAAAATAAAAATAACACAGTAATTAAAAAAAAAAATTGCTAAATTCAGTTATTTACGACCATAGAGAGAATTTTATTAAGGCATTAAATTAAAATATTACAATTCAAGAAATTAAGCTAGCTAAGATACTAATTTAAAAGAAACAATATAGTTTAGGATTACGACATGAATGGCTGAATCTACTAGCTACGCAAGTATACTGCTCATGGTTTATTAACTTTTACACCAAAGTTTAGTTTCATCTTTCAACACTAAAAAATTTATACGTGCGTTGCACCCTTACCTTGTTTTCCGATCCCCACTAATTCAAGTTTTAAAAATTCATTGATGGATATAATATTTCCCCTTTGATCTATTAAGAATTCATTGATGGATATAGTTTTAAAGTAATTTTCTATACATTATAATGAAATAAACATTAATCTCAGCGTCTAATAAAATATAATAATAAGGGAGTTCTAATAAACATAGATAACATCTTGAACTAAATAATGTCAATTCAAGAAACTAGATAGGAGTACTTAATGAAAAGCTAAATAATCCTTATAGCAACACCTGCCATTCTCGCTTTCATCGGTATAGTTATGTACGTAACATCCGTGACATTCTTGGCGGCTTCGATTAACCATACTACTCTTATGCTCTTCCTTGTTCTTCAAGGGGTCATTAGAAGAACTTTGATGGAAACTACCCAAACACTCTGCCTTGGTAAGGTCGTTCTTAAAGGGGGCATAACAATAATCCTCGTCGTTCTTGCTTTCACCCGTACAACTATCTTCGTAACTTCCGTGATCCACCATTTTCTTTTCTTCTTCTTTGTTCTTCAAGGGGGCATCATCAACACTAGAATCAACGTTAACCATACTTTCGAAAAACTCTTCCATTGTAGGAAGGTTGTAAGGATAGATGAATTCATCATATGCATCAAGATCATCATTAGTGTAACACTTAACGTCTAAGTCAACTCGAGATGAAATGCATGGAAAGTATAAACAATGATCACACAACCAAGAGGTCCATGACTCTTCCAAGCTTAGATCATTCGGAAATTTCGGTTCAAGATCATCAATCCTTGGTTGAGTTTTGACATGATCAAGATTATCAGACAAAGCCATTGTTTTGTTTAGGGTTAAGCCAAGGGGGAAAGAATTATATATTGTAGCTAAGATAATTGAAGCTGTTAAATGAATAATGTTTATGCATGCATGTATATTTATAAAGCTTTGGGTTTCAAATGAGAATAAGGATTTGATTTTATTTTAAACATAATTTGAAATTCTATCACTACGTACGTAATTAGGGAAAGTTTAGGCAACTAAATTTTTGAACAAGTCTTTAACCAAATACGGACGAAATACGGAAATACTTATTTAGGTAGTGCCCCTAATTAGTAAATAACTAATAAGTAATTAACTAACCTTATTTTATTTCTGATATGCTTAAAAAATTTCAAAAGTAAGACTTATCTTCTTATAATTAGATGCAAATTATACTCGTAATTTGTATCAACAAGTGCAATAAAATCAAATTCCGGTATTATAAATATATGTGCAATAAAATCTATTATAACCAGTATCAATTTTACTAGTACAATACTTTAGTAAGCTCCAACTTTTATAATGGGTGCATTTTTTTTTTATTTTTTTTTTAAAACATAATGGGTGCAAATGAAAGCTTATCATAAGAATGTTTCTATGGTAGTTATTCTTAAATGATTGACTACCACTATGTTTCCGTAGTGTAGTCAGATTATTTATTTATTTTTTAATGGTCAAACTTATTAAAAAATGAATAATCTTATAAGGAGAGTGATTTAACTCAATAATAAGCGTTTAAATTAAAACTTAAAACTTGTAATCATTTTATGAGATAAAAAGTCTCAATACAAGTAATATACTCGGTTAAACCAATAACATCGCTTCTAAAATGCTCAATAATTTTAGGCATCTTTGCATCGTTCTTGATGAAGCTCCTTTAATATATAGTCGCAAAAGTGATAAAACTTTATTGGCTCTTAAAATCGGCAAATTTGTGAGACAAGTCTTTTGAATCTATAACTCTATAGCAACAAACACTCAATTCTACACATAACTCAACCCACAAGATATATTCCGTAGATTTTTTTAACCTTAATTAAAAATAATCGGGCTATAGTATTATGTACTCCGTATTGAATTTTGAAAATAACGCCTATGCACGGGCCGAAGAAACTTAAGTAGGTCCTTGCCTTATGCAGTTATGCTCGAGTGCTCGAACAGTCGTACTCCGTAGTAGGGATGTTATGGGTCTAACTTTGGCGGGTCGCGGGGCGGGGATAGGTCTAAAATCCATACCCGCCATGAGTGATGGGGCGGGGGTGGATTTTTAAGTAATACCCGCCCGCCCCGACCCGCTCCATACCCGCCCCGCCCCGCCTGACCCACCCCATACCCGCATTACACCCGACCCATATGTATAAGATAACATTCAGCAAAAAAAAAAAAGTTCCTTACAAAGTCACAACACGGGGTATTTATAAGAACAAACCCTAAAAATCTCACAACACTTACAAGCTGCCAACCTTTATTCTCTCTCCTCTCCTCTCCTCTTCTCTCACTGAATCTCTATGTTCTTTCACCTTTACTTCTTTCTCTTTCCTCAAAATTAAACCACTCCTTCAAGCCACCTTAGCACTGCACCACCGGACCAAGCGTCGACCAGCGCAACAGACGCACGAGCATCGCACCACACAGACAGAGCACCGCATCTATAAGAAAACACCGAGGACGACGATGACACGGAGGAGAACGAACTTGATCTCCACCTTCAAGGTTTTTAATTTAGATCTAACTTTAATTTAGGTTAGAATTTAGATCATTTTTTTTTTTTTGGTTAAGTTTCATCTTCATTATGTTATGTACTACTAATTTTTTTTATTTGAGCTGTAGGCTTGTAATACATATTTTGTTTTTTTTTGGAATAGACTTAAATATATTATTTGTGGTGGATTTTAGGTGGGGATTTGGCGGGTATGGGGCTGAGACGGGGATGGGGCGGGGGTTGGAGTTGGACCCACCGGGGTGGGGATGGGGATAATTTTCGGATCCACCGTGGGGATGGGGATGAAAATGTGAGACGGGGATGGGGATGGGGATGGGAATGCCAAAACCCACCTCGCCTCGCCCCGTTGACGTCCCTACTCCGTAGTTAGAATGTGTTTGCGGCAAAACAAACGACCTTTTTGAATCTTCCCCCTTGTATTGTGAAAAACATGTCAAAATCTGGACTCTCCAAACCAAAATATCCCACTGTTGTACTACCTCTTCTCTTTCTTCACTCATAATACATTAACATTTGATTTTAACAGAAAAATTACCAAAGGAAGCTTTATTGAGAAACAATACTCCATAGTAGATGCGTGGCAAAACTATTTACCAAACTAAGCTTCTAGGGTAAAACACCATCCAGATTGGTGTTTTTACCCTGGCCAATTTTTTAAAAAATTTCAGTCAAGACAAAAGCGCCATCCAGGGTGGCGTTTTTACCCTGACTGAAATTTTAAAAAGATTTGGCCAAGGTAAAAACGCCAGCATGGTTGGCGTTTTACCATTGTACTAAAAACACCAGCCTGGTTGGCGTTTTTGTATCGAGTATATTTTCCAGTTTCCTTCAGTTTTATCGTTATTCTTCAAAAAAAAAAAAAAAACCCCCAATTCCCAAACCCTAACCCCCGCACACAATATTACGCCAATTCCTCCATATTTGCAGCAAATTCATCACTTCCTATTGCTTAGATCTTCATCACAATCACTAAAAATTGTTCCTTCTTCTTTCTTTAACACTTTTACGCAGTAAATTGATCGTATATGAGGTATGTATGCAATTTAACTATTTTACTTGTTTTTGATGTTTTTTGGGAATTTATGTTTGTAATGTACAATTTATGTTCTATATTGTTGTTCAAGTATGCGATATAAGTATAACTACATCATACATTGTTGTTTAATTGTTGAAATTAAGTATATTTATATGTATGTTGTTTAATTTTAAATCAAGTATATGAAGCATGCATTATTCTTCAAGTATGTAGGTTTTTTTTTTTGCTAAATATGTATATGTAGTGTGTAATTATGTAATTTAAGTATGTTTACAAACTACATTGTTGAATTAGGTACATTTAAATACATACTACATTGTTGATTAGCTAGGTAAATAAGTACATTGTTGAACACTACGTTGTATATATGCCTAGCTTGAGGATTTAATGGAATCATTGTGGTTTTAGTTGTGTTGTGTATTTGTGTCATCTAATATGTGCTCCGATTGTTATGTAGAACATGGCTTCACAATTGATTGTGTGTCAGATCGAACGTCGAGTATAGAGGAGGAAAAATGGAACTATTGGCATTGAAACCTTGTATGACTTACAATGATTTGTTGAAGAAGGTTTATACTATAACTGGTTCAAACCCAACGAATGTTGAACTGGACATTAAAATGAGGTTGAGTGTCAGTGGGATTCAAATCTTACCTGTTTTGAATGATGACCATTTGGAGGTTTTGAGGGGTGTCATTGCAATGAGGTCTCTTCCTACTGATTTATATGTGGAAATGGTGCCTATATGTACTCAACAGACTATTCGATTGACAGAGCAACAACCTACATATCATCCCTCATACAGTACAAGCTCGTTACAAATGCCCTCATACAATATTCCGTCATTTGAATATGGAATGGGATCTTTCAGTAGAATGTTACACGACGATCAATTTGACATTCCATTCAGTTCGCATTTTACTGCACCTGTACATGAAGGGGCGTTGGGGTCAATGTTGCATGCAGCAACTTGGTCCATATACCTCAAAAAATGACATTTCATCATCGATGCAGTTGCATAGTTACTCTCTTACGCAAGAACATGTTCAAGCTAAGCAACACCATCTCAAACTTTGGTGACTGTTGAAACTGTTGTAAACAAGGAATTGTCTGTTCTTGATATGTATGAGGATACAAATGACGAGGGTGAGGGCGGAGATGAGGAAGATGTTATAAACAACGAATTGTCTGATGATGATGCTGTGGCTAGAACTCCATTGCCTTGGTTCACTCAAATAAATGAGAACTATGAGGTGGACATGTATTGGGATGATTCGGGGAGCCAGACTTCATTTGTTGTCGGGGGAGAATTTGAGAAGGGCATGATTTTTGACAGTAAGAAAGTGCTTCGAGAAATTGTGAAACTGCATTCCATGCAACGGAAACAGTTCTACACCACGGTGACATCGAATGAGAATGTCCTTCATCTTCAATGCAAAAGGAAGTGTGGTTGGTCGCTACGTGGTACAAAAACAAATCTGAACACACATGCCTTTAAGATTGTATCTTACAAGGGCCCACATCGTGAGAACTGCGTGAGTGAAGTTCCGCCCAGCGATCACTGACACTTGGACTCCTCCATAATCTGTGACTATGTGAAGTCGTTTGCGCAGAAAGATCCATGTTTAAGAGTTGAATTCATACAAGATCTCATCTCTAACAAATTTCACTTCGATGTTCCCTATCGAAAAGCGTCGTATGCCAAACAGAAAGCTATTGCGGCAATTTTTTGGGATTGGGAGAGTTCGTACAACATACTTCCTTTTTTCATGCAAGCCCTCCAAGAGTCAAACCCGGGCACCGTAGTTTTATGGAAATACAAAGCTATTGCTGAAGGCATTTACTACAGCAACATGGAGGTGTTTGAACGAGTGTTTTGGGCCTTCAAGCCTTGCATCGATGGGTTTAAACATTGCATGCCTATTCTCTCTATCAGTGGGACACACTAGTATGGGAAATATAAAGGCACACTTTTGGTTGCTACTAGTATTGATGCTAATTTTCAGGTATTTCCTCTAGCATTTGTAAGAGTTGAAGGGGAAAACACCTCCAGTTGATCTTGGTTTCTAAGCTGCATTCGGGTTCATGTTACTGATTGAGATGGCCTATGTGTTATATCTGACCAACATGCTGGGATTATTACTGCAATGACTTAACCGAATGTTGGATTTCATGAGCCACGGGCCTTTTAGAGATTTTGCGTTCGACACATGGCCTCTAACTTGAGGACTCATGTGAAGAACAACAACATGAGAGATAGGTTCAAGGCTGCTGCTTACCAACGCAGAGAAAAAAAATTTGATGAAGATATGCGTTCTATCGGTGAATCTTGTGTCAAGTCCCTAGAGTACATTATGGATGTGCCGTTTCGCAGGTGATCCGTGTTTCATGACGCTGGTCGTAGGTATGGAATTGAATATGTACTACAAATTTCTCAGAATCATTTAACAATGTGTTGAAGGGAGCCCGTTTTCTGCCGATTATGTCCCTAGTCGAGTTAACTTTCCATAGAGTTAACAAGTATTTTGATATAAGAAGGGATAGTTCACTTGCTAGGCATGCCGACGGATATGCATACTCACCTAAGGTCACTTCCATTTTGGAGAAGAACAACGGAAAAGCAAAATACCATACTACAGTGGATATTTATAGCCGTCAGCTCGGTATATACCAAGTAAAAACACACCGGGGAGACAGGATAGGTAGAAAAGGAGGTCAAAAGCATACCGTTAATTTCAATTTGAGAACATGTACATGCAACAAGCCTATGATATTTCACCTACCGTGTTCTCATGTTCTAGCCATGTGTCTTAAGTGTTCAGTTTCTGAGGAACCATGGGTGGACAGTTTCCTACGATCAGAGGCGTATGCGAATACCTATGCCCCACAGTTCTGGCTTATTCCTTGTTAGACGACGTGGAGGACATACAGAGGGCCTAAAATCATTCCTGATGAGAGCATGGTCGGCCAAAGTCGAAGCGTATACGAAATGAAATGGATGAAACTAACCGTCCACCAAGCAAATGTGGTCATTGTCATCAGGAAGGACACAATAAGAGAACTTGTCCGCTACGAACGGGCGGTGACCGGTATTGTTCTTAGTTTAATAACATGTTGTGTGTATGTTTTCACTTAGGATGTAGCTAATTTCTTATTTTACATTGTGCAATGAATAGAGATCATGGAGGGACACTATCAGTGACCTCCATGAGTTGACCCAGGACCAGCTGACCCTTCTATCCTAACACTTCAGGGCACCCATCGAGCCGTGACATATGGGAGCAGTCATTAAGTTTTCATGTACCAAATCTTTAATGTTTTTGGCAATTTTATGTTAATTGATCTAACAATGTAATTTTGTGGGTTGTACAGGTTGATCTAGCACGGTGCTTGCTTTGCAGGCACCACGTTGGCAGGGCGGTGGAAGATTGGGTCGTCCACCCACGTGTACTACATTACATCGATTTTGTGGGTTTTCGCGGATTTCATAGGATGGCCTTCACACCTATAGATCGAGCGCTAATTACTGCACTCGTTGAGAGATGGAGACATGAGACTCACTCCTTCCATCTACCAGTTGGGGAGGCCACCGTCACGCTCCGAGATGTGGCGATACTGACACGACTCCCAATACGTGGTACGACAGTGACAGGGCCCATTATATAGGACCCACGTGGCCTTGTTGAGAGGGTGTTAGGGGTGAAGCCTGAGGCCGCCGATATTAGAGGCACAACGCTGAGACACATGTGGTTACAAGAGACATTTGGAATGTTGCCTCCGGATGCTAATGATGGAGTCGTTTAGAGATACGCTCGAGCGTACCTGTTCATGTTGATAGGATCGTTATTTAGTAACAAGAGTGGTAGTCACATACAGTTGATCTACCTACATCGATTAAAGAACAGCTGGGAGCGGATACGTGACTACAGTTGGGGTAGTGCGTGTCTAGAGACCTTGTATCGCCATCTTTGCAGAGCATCACAGCGAGATAGATGGGAGATTGGCGGTCCCTTGATTGTGCTTCAGGTAGCCATTTAATTTTATACCATTTTTTAACTATTATATACTTAATGGTGACTAAACTTAACTTGTGTTTTTTATTACAGTTATGGGCTTGGGAGCACATCCACGTTGGTAGGGCAGCTAGGGCTTCTAGGCGTCGACGGCTAGATGGCCAGGAGGAGGAAGACGATTAGGAGCATGCATATGAGGCTCCGCCACTCCCTCCACCAGACGTGGCTTACGGTTGCAGGTATGTATGACTTATTGTTAAGTTTTCCACATACCACTTTATTTTGCTAATATTTTCTCATGAACGCTGTTATTATATATAATTAGGTGGCTGGTGCGGAGACTTACTCGTGTGCATGCAGCGAGGGGTCTACTGTATTACAGAGACGCATTCGACAGACTGAGCGAGTCTCAGGTGATCAATTACACTATAAAAACTAATTTAACACCCTGTTCATTCTTTCAATAAGTTAATTATGATGTTACTGACGGCGTATTAATGCAGATGACGTAGGATCCGTACGTCGCTGACTTAGTCGATGTCATGCCCCCATATCTTCGTGATCATCAGATGGAGTGGCGTGCCATGACAGTCCTCATCTGTTTTAAGGTAGTGGAGGCTCACCTCCCCGATAGAGTCATGCGATAGTTCAGCCTTCGTCAGGCTGTTCCCGCCACGTGTGACACGAGTGTCCACTTGCACAAGATAGACCGACGAGGAAAGCGGGACGTGAGCTGGGCAGTTCATCAGCATGCCCCTTTCATTGACATGTGGGATCAACGGTTGCAGCACGTCGTGGATGGTGCGCCTTTCTAAGGCCGGATGGAGTATCACGATCCATACATGGTATGGTACAGGAGCATTACCCGACGCTTCATCAACCCTAACTACTCCCCACCCTCAACTCATTATCAGCCAGCTTTTGGAGACATCAGTGGATATGTGAGTTTTAGATGGATTTTTTTTTAATCAATTTATAAATTATGATATTATTAAATTGACTGATTGTTGACTTATGCAGGCTTTTGATATGATGGCTATACATGATGCACTGGGAGTCTTGAGCATATCATATCCCACCATACCGCAGATAGATGAAATTCAGGCAATGACTGTTAGTAGCTTACAGAGACATGGTCATGGTCATCTTATCTAGGGGCGAGACCAATCACAGCAGCGTTCACACCGTGAGGTAGACGAGTGTAGTAGGGGACAGACTCCCGCGTCCCCTACAGCGTCCTCGCAGTTTTTTGACATGCATGAGGATTTCGCCATACCTATGTCTGCGCCATACTCATCACAGGAGGGACCATCATCCAACCAACAGACTCCTCCCTAGACTTATGCCCTAGATCCTTTCACAATGGTATCTCAGTACTATCGTCGTCGGAGACCGCGAGTTGATAGACAGCAATTACGTCGAATAGATGAATCAGGATCTTAAAATTTCTTTTGATAGTTTGTTATAATCGGATTCTCTAGTACGTTGTATCCAAACAAATATTATTAATATTACTGACTTTTTTAATTGATTTTATGTCCATTTTCAACTTCACCATACGCATTCATTCTTTTCATTGAACTGGTTGTTGTTGTTGTGGTTGTTGTTGTTGTTGCTGCTGCTGTTGCTGATGTTGTTGTTGTGGTTGTTGTTGTGGTTGTTGTTGTTGTTGCTGATGTTGTTGTTGTGGTTGTTGCTTTTGTTGTTGTTGTTGATGTTGTTGCTGTTGTTGCTGTTTTTGTGGCCGGTGTGGTGCCTGCAGTTTGCAGGTTGGGTGTTGCAGGAAAAACGCCAGCCAGACTGGCGCTTTATGGCTGAGAGTAAAACGCCAACCAGGTTGGCGTTTTTACCTTGGCCAATTTTTTTTTAAAATTTCAGTTAGGGTAAAAACGCCACCCTGGATGGCGCTTTTGTCTTGACTGAAATTTTTTAAAAAAAAATAGGCCAAGATAAAAACGCCAACCTGGATAGCATTTTACCTTGAAAGCTTAGTTTGGTAAATAGTTTTGCCACGCGTCTACTATGGAACATTGTTTCTAAAACAAGCTCCCTTTGGTCATTAATCCCTCCAAATTCGTCTAACATACTTTAACTCTAACTCATCACTACTGCCTAGTGACTACTGAATAGCAGGTAATTCAAATTATTCAATTGCAAATTTTGTTCATTTTTTTTTCTTTACATAATTGCTTTTATGTATCACCTTGTTGCTTTAATTTTACTTCTTAATTGCTGCTGTATGTTTAGGGTTTGTACTTTTTTTTTTTTAATTGTATTATAATACTAATTTGATTTTTGCTTTTCGTTCATAAACTAGCAGTTAATTACGATTAATGTGATGTTTTCTTGACATTAAGATTAATTTGAATTAATTGTTGATGTTATGATAATAATTTGATGATTGGGTAAATTTGGTATTTGTTTCATTTTTTTTTTTTTTTTTTTTGCAAAACAATAAGATTAGAAAATTTCTGCCAAAATCTGTAATATTTGGAACAATAATAGTCATTGTTAATTTGTACTGATTTGGGAAATTCTTATGGCATGAAAGATGAAGGATAAGAGTTAAGATACTTCGTATTAGTTTTTTGGACTATGGTATTGATTTACTGTTTTTTATATGCACCCAGGAATACATTGCCTTTCTTATGTTTAAAGTTTTCTTTTGTAAAATTTCTGATTCCGCCACTGCAGAGACAGATACACTGCACATTCTGAGAGATACAGAGAAGCGGAGAAGGTATGGCGGCTTTTGCTTCAATGAAAGAGACCCCATCACCAGGCATAGAAATTTCTGAGGAATGGTCAGCTGTTGCAGACACCATAGCGAAAAGTTTTACCATATCACTGCCTCCTACTGTCTTCATCTGTGGTGCTAAGAACAGTGGAAAAACCACTTTCTCTTATCTTATGGAAGATTTATGATGTTGTTTTCA